TTGAACTCAATGTTTTAAATTTCATTAGCCATTTGGCTTTTTAAATTTTTTAATTTTATTATTTTTATTTTATGTGTATGAGTGTATTGCCTGCATGTATGTGAGTGCACCCATGTCATGCAATGCCGCAGAGGTTAGAAGAGGGCTTTGGATTCCCCTGGAACTGGAGTTAAGGACGGTTCATAGCCACCATGTGGGTGCTGGGAATCGAACCCGGGTCCTCTGCAAAAGCAGTCAGTGCTCTTAACCACTTAGCCATCTCTCCAACCCCATACACCACATTTTTTACATGAATGCTGGGGATTCAAACTCAGGTCCTCATGTTCATGTAACAAGCACTTTTAGAGGAGCCATGTGATTCCAGCAAAGTCTGGCCAAATGACGTTATCAGAGGGCCAGAGGGGGGATTGGAAGCAGGGAGAAAAACAGGTTTGTGCAGAGTTATCAGGGTTTGCAGATGCAGAATGTCTCGCCTGGTCCCTGGTAGGCTGTAGGTGGAATGAAAAACATGCAGGGTTTGAGTATCGGTAAAAGTGGGAAAGTCAGGAAAGTGTGCTACTTGCATGAGAGATGAAGAGCTTGAATTTTAGACACAGTGGTTTGAGGGACCATGTTCAGTGGACTTTGAGTCTGAAATTCAGTAGTGACTCAGGCTGAGCATGGTGACTCTCACCTCTAATCCCAGCACTGGGGCAGCTAAGGCAGGAGGATCACAAGTCCTAGACAGCAAAGCAGGGCTACATAGTTGAAAACACCACTAAAAAAGATGACAAAGTAGATCCTCTGGCTGTTTTGACCATTTGAACCAAGATAAGTTATTGCCTCTGGTCAGACCTGACTCAGCTCCACCCTCCATGCCCAGTAATAACCTCTGTCCTTAATATACAACTTAATTACTTTCTATCCACTAGGTCCCCTGGACACAGACATGCAGCAGTTGGCTCGGGAGACCTCCGTGGACCCAGAATTAAGGAACAGACTACAGAAGATGAAGTCAAAGGGGGAGCTGGTGGATTGTGGGAAATCAGCCCAGAAACTTCTGAGCTTGCTGCAAAAGAACACATTCCAGTCTGGAGCCCATGTGGACTTCTATGACAATTAAGCCCAGGTCATTGGCCTCCTAGCCTTTCTTCCCTAGTTTTGGGCATAGCCCATGTCTTGGCAATCCTGAAAGACACAGAAAAGCCCTCAGACACAGCCAGTGGAGAGTGGCAGCTGTCAAAAGGCTTCTGTAAGAGGGAGAGAGAGCGAGCTAATGGGTATTGGCATTCTCGTTCCTTTGGAGGAGAGACTGTTAGAGCCGAAGCTGAAGCACTGGAGAAAGGAGGTTGGATCTCTTGTCTTCCATGAGAAGAGGTGTGATGAGAAGGCAATACCAGTTCTACCCCAAGTGGGATGCCCCTTCAACTTCATGCCCTTGTTCTAACGCCTTCTCTATTCACTGTCCCTCCCTTGACTCTAGTCTAAGTATACCGTTAAGGCAGGTTCAAATAAGAGTGTGGGTTGTCCTTCGTTACTGCCTGCTTCTCATCTAGAAGGCCCAGAAGTGTCTCCCTGGTTCACTAGACTAAGGTTGTTCCTGAGACAATTCAGTGGTGCTCTTATTTCCTGGGGAGTTGTCACAAAGCTGTCTGCCTCCTCTCACTGATGCCTACTCAGTGGCAAGCTCAAATCCAGAGTCATCCAAATGGATATGCCAAGACTCAAGTGCCTTCATATTTCTGTTGACACTGACCTATCTTTACTGCTATTTCCTCAAGGGCCCTGGAGCTATTCATTTAGAATCTGTCCTTGATGCCCAATACACAGCTGCCCTCCCCACAGCCCTCACCAGTGAGTCCTTGGATTTCCAATTCTACCCTTTGCCCACGTGGCTCTGATGTGAATGGATCCCAGTTCCTGTCATGAGCCCTCTTAGAAGCCTCTTGAGGCCTATGGTCCTTAGTGATACAACTCGGGACCAGCCAGCCTGCCTTCAAGGGACATGGGCAAGATTCCAAGAAGAAAGTGCTGAGAAACTCAGTCCTTCTGCCAGTCATAAACATGGCTGGAAGTTCTCAGTGCCACACTGGTCTGCAGCCATTCTAAGGCCCATGTTTAAGAGGAAGAAGCACTGTTCCCAGCTCAACCCTGCTGTTTGTGAAGGGAACCCTCAGATTCTCCATGTGCTCAGCAGAGGGCGCACTGAGGCTATGCAGTTTGGAGAGGTGACACCACTTCCTGCAAGGTTCCCCGCGGCAAGGCAACTGTTCTCACCTTCCCAGCAGAGCCCTCACCCTCACTGGAGTCCAGATAGCTGGCCTCAAACCCCTGCTCTGCCACTTACTAGCCAGTAACCCAGAGCAAGTTGCTTCTCTGTGCCTCTGAAAAAGTTGTATATTAAAATCCTCCTAAAAGGTCATTTTTGAGTATTGAGTGGCTTGGTATTTTTCATTGTTCAGTACAGTGTCAGCTTTCCACTAACTGCCCCACAGCTAATAAAACACTGTTGCCTCTATTTTTTTAATTTTTTGAAACAAGGTCTCATGTAGCTAAGGCTGGCCTTAAACTTGCTCTGTCACTGAAGATGAACTTGAACTGATCCTCCTGCCTCTACTTCTCAAGTGCTGGGATTACAGGCTTGTGTCACCACACTTATTTTTATGTGCTGAGGATGGAACCCAAGGCTTTTGCATGCTAGGCAAGTGTTATACCCACTGAACTGTATCACCACCTCTGCAATTGCTTTTTAGCATCACACACACACATGCACTTGGGCAGCCTCCTCTCTGTGTCCTGGTGCACTGCCCCATGACAGCCTCTTCAGGGAGACTGAGGTTCCATCTGGATAGCTTGTCTCAGACTAACAAGAGGAGACAAGCTTCAGAGTCCAGAACTGTCCATGCTGGTCTTGGGCAGGTCCCCACAACCCTCCTTGGGCTTCCATTTCCTTAGGACAAATGAACTCTAGATTGCTTACTGCAGACCTCTCAATCTTGGTCAGGCTGCATGCACACCTGTCAGGTTCGCCCTCTGCAAGTAGGTGGACCAGTCTGGGGTGCCCCTTCTGCTCTGGAGGATAGTACATGGGTTTCCTACCAGGCCTCTTGCTTCTGGGCAGTGTTCAAGCAATTGGCATTAACCCCCAAGCCTTATAGGAGTTCCTGTGGAGTCACCCTGTTTCTCCCCACTCCAGGCCTCAGTGAAGAGTACCCCATATCTCCACAAGATTTCAAGGCCTTCTCATGTCTTCTCTGAGTGCAGCCTAGCAGCTTCATCCCTCTAGACTCCTGGGGACTTGGAATTGAGGGAGGTCAGAAAGGGTTGGAGTCTCTCTGGCAGGACCCAAGACCTTCCCAGTGACCAGCCTACCACCCTCTGCCCACAGGGATCTCCATCTCCAGGATTCTCCATCACTGGAGCTTTTGTGCTGGTCTCCAGGGACTAAGCATCTGTGTTCCCAGATGCTCTAACCCCTGATCACTCCCCTAGGGCATATTCCATTCTCCTAATGTCCCATGTTCACCCTGGGGAGCTGGACCCTGGGGTATAGCCTTCTGTCCTATGCCCACATCTTCCTCAAAGAACCTGGTCTTAGATGCTAATGTGTGCAGTGATTTTAACTCATGGCATGTATGCATACCCTTGTGACCATTCCAAGAGGGCCCCATTGCACCCTTCACCCAGGGCACCTGCATGGTGAAGATGAGCAAAGAGCCTTTCCACTCACTCTAGAGGAGGCACAGGGTGACATCTCTCTGGCTTGGATTACATCTCAATGACCTGGTATATAGGGGAGATGGGCATGAGGCTAGGCAACTTCCTGGGAAATTAGCTGGAGAGTCCCTCCAAGGCTCTGGGATCAGCTGTGAGGAAGGGCTAAACAATGGAGGTGCTAAGGAGAGGAGTGAGGGAGTTACCCTTGCCCCCCCCCCCCCGCCCCCAAGCCTTCCCCTTCTAGTGCTAGAGACAAAAAAAGGCTCTGGGCATTTAACAAAAATAGAAAGGGCACACCCAGGGGTTC